CAGCAGCCGGAAACTGGGAAACTTTCGCACGTCTTTTAAAACTTTAACCGTAAAAAGTCATGTCAGCTAGCTCGAGACTTACTTCACTTACTTCACCCCGTTCCCATTTAGATCAATAAATGGAAAACAAAACTTGCACACATATTCAGTTATAAGAGCAAGTTTTTACAATTTGTAATTGAGTAAATTTCATCTGACCCGTAGATCAATTCACATAAAGCTATGATTCAAGCAGTTGAGCTGCAAGCGGAAAAAGCAAGTTATGTTTGTAAGAAAATGCCCCTGTTCTTTATCGTGTTTGTCAACTGTACCAAATATTAACAGCACTGGCGAATTCCCCACAAATCGATTTAAAAACGTGCGGAAGCTTTCAAACAATTTAACAGTTGAAGTGTGCATACGTGAGATTCAAAGCAGTCGAGCGTAACCCGGAAAATGAAGTGGAAATATAAGTTTTTTCTTGAGATCATATCTGGTGCACGCAACGGCTCTGACAAGTTTTTAGGCTGCCTGTGGATTAAATTCAAAGAAAGCCATGATTCTAGCAGTTGAGCTGCAAACGGGAAAAGCAAGTTTTGCGTGGAAGAAAATGACGCTGATCTTGATCGTGTTTGTCAACTATACCAATATTAACAGCACCGGCGAATCCGTCGAAACTCGATTTTAAAGCATGATGAAGCTGTCAAACAATTTAACTGTTGAAGTGTGCGTACATGAAATTCAAAGCAGTCGAGCGTAACCCGGAAATTGAAATGGAAATGCGTTTCTTTGAGATCACATCTGGTGCACGTAACGGCCCAGACAAGTTTTTATGCTACTTTTTTCAACGAAATTCAAGCGCTTTCGTTGATGGCCGTCATAGAGGGCCACGGCCATCAAGAGATCAACGAAATCACACTTCAAAGGAAGAAAAAAGGATCGCAGATAACATCTGTTAAGTCATCTGAGGGAAAGAGGTGGTAAATGTTCCTTTCCAATTATCCACAATAACAAAATACCGCAAGTTTAAGTGAATAAAATACAAACTTCGACCGGATTGTAATTTCTCAGACCCTGAGGTGATTGAAACGCATTTTTAAGAGATTACAATGCCCCATCCTTTTCCAAAATTTCTGATCACAACAAACACTGATACGTGATGGGCGATTTTAATCTCGATCCACTCCTTTACAATCATCATATACCCACGCAGGAATTCATTGGCAGTTTGTACCCGTCACGCAAGTTCCTTCCACTAATTTCCAATTCACGACGCTTGACTTCTTACTCAGCAATACTTATAGACAATATATTCACTTATCAACTTCCAAACGATGTCTACAATGATATTATTCTAAATGACCTATCGGATCGCTTTCCGGTTTTCACATATTTTCACGATGAACAGTTGTCTCCCACCGGAGGGAAAAAATTTTTTTAAGCGTTCATTTAACGAACGCAACTTGAATAAATTTAATGGCCTTCTCTCCCGAACGAATTAGTCTACATTTCTTAATGAGGAAGACCTAATAAATCTTCTAAGGACTTTGCAAATAAATTTACCAGCCTTTTTCACGATTGCTTT